GATTGCACCAGAGAAAGCGGGGTAATTGCCAGAGGAAGTGCAACAGTCTAAAGAGCAGGAATGCTGGATGTCTTTCAGCCCAGAATTCCATTTTGGGGTGGCAACTGGGGGCCACATTCCAGGGGTGTGCAGGTCTAAAGGCGAATGGGCCAGTGGCAACATTTTAGCTTAAAACTCTTAGTGCGAGTGCATCAGGCGGTCATTTCGTGTGGGGGTGGGGGTACAGAACAGCTGCCCACTAAAAGATCCATGGTGGGGGAAAAGAGGTGCATAGAGATTTGGGGATCCCATCCTGACCCCGAGGGTATGGAATGGGCTTCCAGGGGAGGTGGTTGAAGCCCCACTGGTGAGGGTGTTCAAGGATAGTCTGGACATGCACATGGGAGGCGTGTCGTGAGCAGAGCCGGCTGGAGCCAGGGGTCAGACTAGCTGGCCCAGGAGGTCCCTTTTGAGTCACTCTGTTTCTATGTTTCTATATGAAGGGCAAACATTTGAGTGAAGGTATGGGGAAATTAAAGGAATTCTCCTAAAAGAGAAAAAGAAAACTGTGACCATCACATCTTTTGGAAGTGAATTCATCATAGAACAGTAGAGTTGGAAGGGGCCATCTGTCACTGCCTTACTTCTGAAATTGAGGGGATACCTTTAGGGTGTTTTTTCATGCTGCTCTAAGATCATCCTTCAGCTGGCCAATCCCCGATTTGCTTAGGGTGTTGTGGATCAACCCATGTGGAACTCAGAAATAAATGGGAAGCTAGGATAAATCTTGCAACAGAGTGCATTCTTATAAGAATCTCATTTCTATATTTCAGATCAGTTGAAGTTTCCACATGATTTTCAAAGACAGTACCATACAGAATGTATTATTTAATCTAAGCAGGAGTATGGATAACTGTGGGGAAGTCATTTTTTCCAAAATGAAGGCATGAAGGCTGAAGGTAAATTGTAACATTTAGGGAATGGGAACTATATATATATATATATTTCTGAGGTCAGAAATAGATTGAGTTCTACTGCAGCACATGAAACACGCATTGTTTTAAAATGCGTAATGATTGATCAAACTCTATTCCTTGCATTATAGGTGGAGATATTCTAGAAATGGGAGTAAATCTTAGAAAACTCTGATCTCTTAAATTGTTAAGAAATGAAAAAGAAAAATATACCCCTCCCTTGCCCTTTTAAATCTAAAGATGGGAATTTAGTAAAAACATCTGAGAGGATTAAATAGGAGTTTGGGGAGGATTATTGTTATACCAGACAGAAGGACTTGGATTGGATGATATTGAGTTCTTTCTGGATACTTTACTTAAAGTATCATTAAAGGATAAGGAAAGATCAAATATTCCTATTACATGAAGTGACTGAGCAAATTAAGAAAAACAAGACCACAGCTAAGATAGGGTACTATCAAGATCTGTGCAACTTAAATCATGGCTAAGCTCTTCAAAATTTCTTTATTGCATAAAAGTATCCTGCACCTTGAAAGGAATCCAACAGAGTTTTAATTGGTGATGGATTCATAACAAGTCTATATTACAGACCAAACAGCCTTATTAGAGATGATGAAAAATGTTTATTGCCATGCCTATTTTGTATGGTTGTTTTTTGGTAAAAAAAGAAAAAAAGAGGCAATAATTTTTGACTTGGTTTTCTATGGGGTTTCTTAGCAAAATACGGATGTGTCTTCTCCCCTACGTACCTCTGCGCTCCTTTAAAAAATTAATTTTTTTAAGTCAATGGCTGCCTTGAAAAGGACTTTCTCCTACCAAGTTGCTTTTTGCACGTACGGTTCCAGCTTGTTTGCGTGTGCTGTCTTGGCACAACGCAAGGCAGAGGTAAGATTGCATCCATATATGCCCAGCCGCCCCTTGAGATCGGCGGGGGAGGCCCTTCTCCGGGAACCCTCCGTGAAGGAAATTAGGAGGGTGGGTACTCGGAGGAGGGCTTTCTCTGCGGTGGCGCCCAATCTATGGAATGCGCTCCCCAGAGAGGTCCACCTGGCGCCGTCGTTACTTGTTTTTCGGCACCAGGCTAAGACCTTTTTATTCAAGTGGCATTTTAACTGTTAATATTATTGGATTTTATCTGGCCAGGGCGGCTTATTTTATACTGTATTTTTGTATTTTTAATTTAATGTTTATATTCCTGATTTATATTATAATTATTTTAACTTATCGTTGTAAGCCGCTCCGAGGCTTCGGCGAATGGGGCGGCATAAAAATGTTTTAATAAAATAAATAAATAAATAAATAAATAAGATTGGAATCCCAACACACTAAAACCCCCATTGAACACACTTTTCAGCACCCATATAAACCTTCTCTACAGAAGGGAAATTCTGTCTCTCCCCTCCACCTCCCACTCCCCATGGATATAGTGTCATCTCACAACTCTTTTGCATCTCCTCTCTTGGGGATTGGGATGTATATTGAATGTTTCCAGCCTGTGGATCATTGTTATGCTTTCCGTTTTTGTTGGCATGTTCTTCTTAGAATTTGAACTAAGTTGGTGTCTGCAATGTGGAGTGAACCAGGTGCTTTTTTTTCCTTCCAAGCCTGTCAGAGCAGCTTTCACTTCATTTTCTAATATTGCAGGATCTTCCTCGTAGGAATTCTCTTTGAAGGAGTCAGTTATCGCTGCTGTATAGTTCTTCCACCTTCTCTTTATTTTATCCCAGTCAGGTATATGTTCTCCTCTCAGCCTTTTGGCATTAGGGTTTAATCTTTAGGGTTAAATGCCTCTTTGATTTCCTAGATCTTCTGTAAAAGGTCTATTGTTTTTCTTTTCTTTTTTTTATTTGTTCGTCTCTTTCTTTGCAATGGCCATTGAAACAATTCTTTTTTTTCCTCTACATGATAGTCACTGAAAAGTTGTATTCAGGAGTCTGACCTTTTTGCTCCTCCTCTGCCTTTAACAAGTGTTTCTTCCATCATCCATCTAGGCCTTTTCTTCTTTTTTTACTACAGTAATTGTCTTTCTGTAGTCTCTCCTAATAATATTATGATGTTGGCTGTTGTTTTAAATTGTAAACTGTCTTGAGAACCATTAGGTTAAAGTGGGATGGTATGGAAATGTTTTAAATGTATACAATTTCTGATTCCAGTCTGTTGTTCTGGCTCATGGTCAACGGAGTTAAAAAATGCAAATCTGTTTTTATGTGGATGTTGAATCCCTCAGGAATGTAAGGTGTATTTTGGCACTATGCTTCTGTTAGTGACCTTTTCAGCTTTGCTCTGTTTTTTGACATTAAGGGTTCACGACTACAGCCTGCTCCTGGTCTGTTTTTGGCAGTGAGACTGCAACTTCTCCATCTGTTACTTCCAATTACATAGTCCAATTTATTTTTATATTGGTCATCTGTTGATCTCTCTCCATGCAGTCATCTGAACTGATGTAATTGTGATAAACAAATGGCTGGCTTCACAGAACTCTGAGTCTCATGTTTTGTTTTTGACTCCTAGGCCAAATTCTCCCCACATTTATTTCCCGTGTTTGTGTTCCAGACACCTTGGCTTATACACATGCCTTGATTTTGTGTTTTATCTATTTCCTTCTGGATGCTTGCGTAAGTTTTCAATTTCTTATTCAGCTTCTGTTGTTGGAGCATAGACTTTAATGAGAGTTATGTTCATAGGTTCCCCAAGAATGTTGCTATTTTATACTTGGACTCTGCCTTACAGCCCCTAAGTGCCTGTGCTACAGCCTGTCTCTCCATTAGAGCTATCATTTCTTCTGACTTTGTAATTTCCAGGGTAAAACTTCTGTGTTTGCCTGTTTGAAAATGTCCTATTCCTGCCCACTTTCATTTGCTCACCTCAGGAATCGCGATGTTTAATTTCTTGCTTTATGGTTCCCAGTTTGCCTTCTAATGTTCCAGTTCTATGTGTTATGCAACATCAGACTTGCCTTCCACCTCTGGACATGTCAGCCACTGGCCTTCCCATTTTGTTCCACTTGTATCATTGCATTAATTTGTTCTAGTTGTGTCAGCTCTATTTGTACTTGTCCTTTCCTCTTCCCCAGTACCTAGAGTGCCTTTCAACCTGCGAGTCTCATTTTGTAACACTGCCTAAACAATTCTATCAAGTTTTGTTTCATTTTGGATTCTTTCATCATAAGGGTTTCAACACCTCCTGTTATCAGTTTTTTTAAAGCACTGCGTTCTGTGTAGGAACCAAAGGCCAATACCTTTTTAAAGGCCAAGACCTTTTTATTTAAACGTTATTTTAATTGTTAATGGCATTTATTGATTTTATATTCTGAGATGTTTCCAGATTTTTAAGGTAATTGTGTAATGGTTTGTTTTGGAAGCCACCCCAAGGCTTTTTGCGAATGGGGCGGCATATAAATGTTCCAAATGAATAAATAAACCCAAGAATTCCCATTCCTGTTTTTCCTTTCTGGACAAGAACCTAGTGTGCCATGCTAACAATACGCCTAACCTCATAGAAGGTGGCTTTACGCTGCTCTCATAATGGAAGCACAATAAAGTCGGATGCACGCCCGTAAGACTATCGTCTGTCACAATCATCCAGGGCTACCCGAGAGGGTACACACACTCTCAGGGTCCTCAGCATCATGCCATCTGCTGCCTCGTCCAAGAGCAGGATTGCCTCTTCTACATGCAACCTTATGTTGTCCTGTATGTACATCGCAGTCAATCCAGAGACAGTGTTCATCAACATGCTGATGTAACCAAGTGACTCAGCTCACTTATAAAAGAAAGGGAAAACCCCAGCTGCTACCGCTGATGACTCAGATGTTAAGATTTGTGTCTTGGTCCTAAGAGAGCATGATGGACTGTTAAGGCCTGGCTTTTCAGGATATATAGAAAAATTAAATCATGTTCTGCAATTCGTTCCATTTGGAAATGGAGAATCTACAGGGCTCCATGTCGTGTACATGTGAATAGAGGATATGTATTTTTCCTTTACCTAGTGAAGTATTTTAATGCAAGTATAAAAAAGGAAAAATAGGTGCTAAATAAAATCACCCCAAGCTGTACAAAGAAGTGTATTTAATCAGTGTTACATTTTCCTGCAAGAACTCTTAGAATGTACCAGATCTCCCCTTCACTACAATTTTAAAAATGAATTCTATTTAGCCCAAAATACTTAACTTACACCTTTCCCATGGGATACAAACATCGACAGCAAAGAATTATGTATAACATCACTAAAAGGAATAGGACTTAACAGCAGATATTTTTGGTGTTTTGCCTAGAAAGCAAAGCAGGTATTTTGTCTACAAAGCCCAATTTTTCTCCATGTGTACGACAGCCACCCTTCTTTCCTGAAAGCAAGATCTGAAGACAAACATTCCTTAAGAGTTTTCTTAAAGGCTTACCAAAAAAAAGTACAAAATGTAAGTGTTATTGCACTTTGGATTGGACTGTTTACACAGCAATTAACCATTATTTCTTAAATAAAGAAAAAGAGAAGAAACAAACTGGATAAGAAAATGAAATGGGAGCCTTAGAAAATGTATGGGCGCCAAACAATGAATGTATCTTCTTGTCCCTCTGAATTCACCGGGGCTGAAATTACTCATACAAAGGTTCACTTCAAGTGTCTCCAAAGCTTTCCAGAAGCTGATGATTCAGGATGGAACTTAGAGAAGCTGACACACTTTGGTGGAGAGATTCTCCATAAGAATTCCTTCACACATTCAGAGTTCATCATGCTTTGTAGAGTCCGCACTGGGCTTAATAAAAACACCTTCCATTGCCTTCCAGTAGTTGTGGTGATTAGCAGAATGCATGCCATGGACTTCCCGTTGACCCTTGATTGGGTGGCCATATTGTTCGCCCGTTATTGAAAGGAACACATCTGTGCCTATGTGCTTGAAGCGGACTGCATCATCCCGCTTCCAGTGTGTCCCACTGCACTGCACTGCCCACACGTCCAAGTCATCTCCTTCTCCATCATCACCAAATGCACTTACTTCCTGTTAGATCCGGGGGAAATGGGGAGAGGGAAAAGAAACCGCTTTAAAGATACGCATTTGCAACAACAAGAAGAAGCCAGAAAAATGGATAAAACAGATTGTATGCTTTCTTTGAGATCACAGTAAGATTTGGTAGAATTATTTTTACTTTAAGAATTTAAAACCTAGAAACCAGGTAAGTAATGAGAAAGGTCAGTTATTACCAATGTGTTACTTTATGAAACACTTTTGGACACTCCAAAGCATTATATAAATACTACATTGTATTCTCATAAAGTATATCATGTATGCTAATGTCATGGAGAATTCTAGAATTTTCACACACATTTCTTTCTGCTGTACGTATATTTTCCTGAGCAATTCGTAATGTCAACAGCCACTGAAGTAGAAGTTCATAAAGCCTTCTGTGCTATGCAGACTTCCTATATTTTGTCTCTATGAATGCAACCTGCATCACAGTAACAACGGGTTGCTGAGCAATTAAAAGGGATGTTTCCAATCATCTTCCAGACCAGGGAAGTCAATTCAGAAAAAAAACAATGTGTAAGGTAATTTCGAGTGTAAGTCATAATCTGCTCTCTAGGCTAGGGAGAAAGCCTTGTGGGATTTCTAAGAAAACAGAGAGCTACAGCTGTAGGGCAGTTCAGAAATGAAATAATAATAATCATATAAATATGTATCAAATTGCACTGTACACCTACCTGCATGATGAAAAATATACGTTACATATTAAAATCACTGGATGTAAATATATATGTTTTATGGTTCCTCTTTTAAAAATTCATTTATCGGGCGGCATAGAGATGAAAGAAACAATAAACTCCTGGTTCAATTAAAAACTAACTGTGCCTTTTTCTTAATTTGCTAAAGCCAAAGGACAAACTCTAGTCTTACCTGGTTATTGGAGAGTGGAGATGGGAAGTGATGGGTGTGCAGATTTTTCCCTGTATTAACATGTGTAAGGCGTACTGCTTGCCCACATTTCACTGGCATCCCTCGCTGGCAAGACCCATCAGTTTTGCCTCTGATCCGCCAGTAGCTGTTAGCATCATCTGAAACTTCAACTCCAGTTACCGACTGCTGACCGCTTCCTATTAACAAAATAATTGCTCTATTGCAATTGCTGGAAGAGAAAGGCAATAGGAAGCACCGTATGCCTTGAAGCTGAGCCAAGGGAGGCTATTTTACTTGCTTTTTTGTTGATGCACAATCCTCACTTTACCAAGCGAAACTCCTTCCTTGTCTGAGACCTCTTGGGCCCCTTCCCTTTTAGTATTTGGACACTCACGGCTCCTATGAGCAGATGACTGGGATAGCTAAAACATGACACCGCCTGAAAGACTCTCTGTACGGCAAGAGGGCGGTGCGGCGAGAGTAAAGGCAAGGAGGGCAGCCACCCCGTTTGTGCTTCTCGCCTGCGGGTAACTTTCCCCAGAGACGCCTGGCTGGGACACCTGTGGCACACAGGGCGCTGGCCTAGCTAGTCCCGGGTCTGCTCTGGCGGACCCTTCGCTCGCGCACCTTGTGAAGGCGCGGGTGACGTTCTCGGGGCGCTTCGGAGCCCCTTGCGGGGCAAAGCACACCGGCCCAACCCTCGAGCCAGCCGGCTACTCCGCTTCCCGCAGCCCGGCGCTGGAAGCCTCCCCCGGGCCCGCGCGGCCTGCGCTTCCTCACCGGAGCCGTACTTGACCTCGTGCGAGTGGAGCCGCACGTTGTGCCGCGTGTTGAGCAGTTTCAGCACCGACCCGCAAGTGACAGCGCCCGCCTCGGCGCCCCTCGCCGGGCACGCGCCGCAGAAGAGCAGCAGGAAGGGCAGCAGCAGCGGCGAGCGCCGGCGAGGAGGAGGCGCCGCCGCCGGCGGGCGCCCACCCGCAGCCCCCGGCCGCCGCATCGCCGCCGCCCTCCGCGCCGCACCGCGCCGCTCGCCCC